ATGTTTATCTGGCAGCTTTTTAAAGGGATCCCTGATTAGTTGTAACATTAGACTTTATTTGATAAACATATATTTTAACTGTAAAATAAAGACTGTAAAAATACTGTAGGATGTTCAGTTTTGTAAATTTTTAAAAATATATTTTAACACGGACAGAGCCAGGCTGAGTCATTTTTGTGTTCCCCTCTCTGTCATGTGGATGGAGGACCTCAGTGATGAGAGGAGAATGTGTAGCGCTGAGCTAATACATATATATGGTGATAGCATCGGGGCTAATGCTAAAGCTAACAGGCTAAGCTGAGGTTCTTCTTCCATGAAGCAGCTCTGTTGTCCTCCATCCATATTTTCAGTTACAGGCTGAGTCATTTCTACCTTCTCCTCTCTGTCAACGCTCTCTGGTTTCATTTAAAAGAGTCGATCATCAGATATTGTCCAAGATTAACCTTCAGGGTGGATATAGCTCGCTCACACCGAGGACCTATCCACATCATCATTTACCCAGAATGCTTTGCCTGTAAATAAAATGGCTCTGTCCGTGTTAAAATATATTTTTAAACTTTTAGTTTAAAAATTATAAAAACTAAATATCCTACAGTATTTTTACAGTCTTTATTTTACAGTTAAAATATACGTTTATTACCTAAAGTCTAATGTTACAACTAATCAGGGATCTCTTTAATGAAACTGATTTACTGTATTTTTACAGTAAATAAGTTGTTTGTAAACCTTAAAAAACAGTAATTCAGTTTTTCTCCTGAGTATGGAAACCAAAGTAGGACAATCTTTTATTATATTTTTTTATAATCTTTCATTGAAATACAGACTTTTTCAAATCTAATCTTATCTGCACGGAAAACCTTTTTCACATCATGTTTCTATTTTTATTTTTTAATGGTCATTTTATCTCAAGACGTCTGGTTTTATGAGTTATTTTTGTTTTGTTTACTCAAGGTGCAACTTATTTACTTTGATTTAATGAGGTTCAGTTTATTAAAAACAAAAAAAAAACATTTTGTAACATAAGAAAACTGCTTTTTGACATGAATTTTTTTTTTGAAGTCATCTTGTTTTTTTAAGATACCTTGTTTTACTCATCTCAAAATAATGTTTATTTTACAAGACAGAGTTGTTTTTCATAAAGAAATCAGCTTATTTATCTCTTGTTTCTACATTATCTTAAAAAAACAAATATAAACTCATTCTCTTAAAAATCATAAAAATAATGCTCAGTTCAAAGAAAAATCATGGCTTTTTGGTACCTTTTTATTATATGTTCTGAATATCTCAACTGTAACTAAATAAATAAATATAAATGTTATTTTAAAAATAATATATTTTAAATGTTATAAATTTTGCTCATAGAGAAGAAAATTCTCATTAAAAAGTCTGGTCTCAACTGATGCTTGTTTTCTAAAAAAATCCAAATTATTTTAAATACTAACGTTCTAATCATATGATTGTACAGCATTTCGTGAATATATTTCGGTGAAAGGCATTTTATAAATAAAACTTTACTTACTTATGTTCTATCAAAATCCACATTTTTATTATCTTGAGATAACTTGCTTTATTGAGATGAAAAAAAACTAACTCTGAACGTAACAATGATTTCAGTGTTTTCTCATCATTATTAAATAAAAATGTTTTTTTTTCCTGCTGAAAAACAACTTTGTCTTATTGAGATAAATTTGCTTGTTTTTACTAAAACACAACTTGTTTAACTTGTGGTTTCGATGGTTATCTTCTCTAAAACAGAAAAGACCCAACATACTTCATCTTGTTTTGAAAAACATGGCTCTCATTTAAAGAATACTTACCAAGTCTTATATTAAATAAGGAATAACACTAATTTATTTATTGTGTGAGCTTGTGATAACATTTGTTTTTCCTCAAAAAACTATTTTATAATAATTAATACTCTTGTTTCGTACTACTTTAAAAGTTTTTGTCAGGATAACTGTGAGTAAGACAACTTTTCTCTGTGTTTTGAGATAACATGTTTTCTCTAAAATAGCCTGTTTCAAAAACAATGCTCATTTTCTTAATAACACAGAATTATTTCTTCTATAACGCTGCAAAAATTGTCCATCTAACCAAGTCTTACAAACTTATATTCAGCCAAAAGGTGTCTTTGTTGTTTTGAGACTGATCTACAAAGCAAGAGCAGAATGTGTTAACATTCCCAGGCTAACAGGATTATTAATCTGTTTTATCCAAGGTTTCAGTAAGATTTTTTCACCTAATTTGTGAAAATTCACAATATAGTCTAATATTTGAAAGCTTATTCTTTGACAGGCAATTTGGCAGTGAATCTGAAAAAAAAAAAAAACAATGTCTTAATTCATTTATTTTAACTTACAAATTCTTATTGTGAGAACAAGATATTTGAAAATTGTGAGAAAAAATATTGGAACTCTGTTATCAGAAACCAGTTATGCTGACATTTTGCATCCTGTTAAAAATCAGCTTCAAGTTTCTTCAGTGACAGAACAGTAAAAAGTTTCTCTTTACACCACTCAGCTTGGAGTTTAGAGAAAAACGTTTGTTTTCTTCAGTAACGTGTCGAAAACTGAATTGTTCTTTTAAAAACATGATAGTTTACAACAAAAACCACATCAAACATCCTTAACAGATTCTGGACCAGAGAAAGGATTTTGTTCCATAATAAATTAATAAATTCCAGGCAATAATCTATTCTATTCCCATGTTTTATTACATTTTTTCCTGCCACATCTTGAAGGTTAATCACCTTAAATTTATTAATGATAAAGTCTCATCTGAAGCATCTCCTCAGAGATTTTTAAATAAATTTAAAAAATGTCTCAGGTGCTTTTTTTGTTTTCATTCTGCATCAGGTAATAGTTCTGACAAGGTGGGACATTTATAAATATTTGTTTCCACACAGCAGAGCTGAAGATTGGCAGACAGTGTCCAGATTAAGTTCAGTTGCTGCAGGAGCTTTTTGGCTCAGCTTTCTTCTCTGTTGTTGTTGAAATCAACCGATCTCAAAAATCTGGTTGGGAAATTATTCAGTCTGTTTTTTTCTCTTACATCTGCTTATCTGTGCAGATGAGTCACCAATCAGCCTAAAACTAACAATTTCTCACATTTTAATACAGTTTTAACGAGTCTGATAAAAGTCCAGCTGTCTCGTCAGTCTGTGTGAAAAATGTTGATGATTTCTGCTTCAACATAAAAGCATCGAGCTGCCGATTAAATAAGAAACTTCAGCTTTGGTCTATGGCGCCCCCTGCTGTTGGTTCTGAGGAACACTCTGAGTCACATTGCTCATTTGAGATGTTTGTTTTGTTTGTTTGTTTTTTGGCCTTTTAAATGCTTGATCAACTAATGACCTACTTTAACTCCTTCCTGCATGAGGTTCTAGTTGTTTTTAGATCGATCATCTGTGTTTGTTGCCCCGACTTTTGTCAGTTTTAAATTTAACTCGGTTCATAATGTTTGTACATTTTGTCTGAGCAGATTGAAGAATGCATCCTAGATGAGGACGAAACAAAAGAAATTTCTAGATTTTCATTAAAATATAAACAAACAAAATTAAACCAAATGAAATTCCTAACTTTCCTGTGGCACAAATAATAATAATAATAATAATAATAATAATAATAATAATAATAATAATAATAATAATAATAATAATAATAATAATAATAATAAACAATGGCAGCTCAGTTGGTAGAGCTGATACCTCTCAGCAAGAAGGTCGCTGGTTCAAATCCCGGCCCAGGGACCCTTCTGGGTGGAGTTTGAATGTTCTCTCTGTGCATGCGTGGGTTCTCTCCTGGTACTCCTGCTTCCTCCCACAGACCAAAAACATGACTGTTAGGTTAACTGATAACTCTAAATTTTCTCTAGGAGAGAGTGAATGGTTGTTTGTCTCGTTTGTCTCTATGTGTGTCCCTGTGATGGACTTGCGACCTGTCCAGGGTGTACCCCGCCCCTCGCACTGTGACTGCTGGATATGGGCACCAGTGACCCTGAATGGAAGAAGTATTTAAAAGATAATGGATGGATATATAACTCCATGCATAAACCTGATTTAAAGCAGTAACTCCAATTTAATGGTGAGCATGTTATTAATAAACTAGCAGGTACAAAATTAACATTTTTTTTGCGAAGAAATGCAAAAGAAAAAAATCCCCTTATGCCCCCTCGGGGGCTCAGTAATAATGAATATCAGAAGGTGATTCCCTAACTCCCATTTATCAAATAATGACATGACAACACCAAAACAACTCTCCTGAAACTCTGACAGGCCACCACAACACCACCCCTTTAAAATTATTCTGGAGATGCACTCGCATAAGCTGTGAGGATTGCATCAACTGCTGTAAAAACTCGGTCATTAGCCAAAAATGTTTCCAGAGAAATCAATTTTCTGCTGAGTTTTGTGTTCAGCTCTTTAGGGAAATTAAAGTAACACCAATATAGGGTTAGGGCCACTTTGTTTCAACATCAAAACTAAGATTTTGTGCAGTTTGTTAGAGCTCAGCTGTGTTGTGCTTACCTCTCACCTACCACACCAAATTTGAGTGCAATACCTGTAAAACTGACTGAATCGTATGTTTTAACCTCAGTTGGCAGCCATCTTGGCTCAGGTTGAATCTAAAAGGTAATCAGTTGTAGTGGTACATCTAATAAAATTTTTCTGATTGTTTTTGTTGAAATCCTTCAACTGGCTCATGTGATATTTTGCTAACAGACACTCATAGTTAAATAATTGCCAGCTTTTCATTGTGGTAAAAATATATTGCATCGTTTTGGGAAATGAAAATATACCAAAATAAGCATGAACTAAGAAATCCATTCATTTTAAAGACCAAAATTGCTTTAAATTATTTTTTAAACAGGTTTATCACAATCTGCACCATAACCCAGGATGTATACAGGCCCCTGTGGGCTGAGGCCCTTCAGTTTGAGCTAACGAGCACTCGGAGCGTTTTCTTCTTTTAATTTGTTGACTTGTTTTTGTCTCCCGACAGGTGATCGGTTGGCTGAGCCCACCCTCACACTCACGTTGGCCCTTGACCTCCTCTCTGACCACGCCCCCTCCTTCAGTCCCAACATGGAGCTTGTTAAGGTCCAATCAGAAGGTGGCCTGAATGTGACCCTCACCATCAGGCTGCTGATGCACGGAAAGGTGAGCTCAAAAATCAGCTTTTTCTCAGCCATTATCTGCCTTTTGAGAAAAGAAGGCCCCGTTTGGACCTCAAACTGTTTATTTCTGTTCCTGCAGGAGGTGGGGAGCATCATCGGAAAGGTATTTATCACAAACATAAACCAGTAAAGCTGTTAAAGTAAAACATCACCTGCAGGAAATAACAAAATGCATTAAAAATGTGTGATTGCTTCCAGAAAGGAGAGACGGTGAAGAAAATGCGTGAAGATGTAAGAACCTTTCTCACATCTATATTTACCATCCAGACTGGTTGTTTCCACCTATAATCATGACGATTTTCTTGTTGTGTGAACAGTGAGGCAGCTTTCTAACTGCAGAGTCAGCATTTTCTCTGCTGTTTTCCTGACTTACTTTTGCAGTCCAACTACTTCTGAATACTGTGGGCTATTTTAGCTGATCATGTATCAAAAGGTTCAGCTCATTAAGGAGATAGGTGCTATGGCTTTAGGTTTTTGTAGCTTTGATAATTTTCAAAATCTTTAAAAATTTAACTTTATGTTGAAAGTAGATTTGTTTCTTTGTTCAATGGTGTACTGGATCTGTTTTGTCTTTGAAAATTATTTTAGCTCCTAGCTAGTCTTTTGCCTAAACTTCTAGACTTTTGTTACTTTTTAACTTTGAGCCAAACCCTTGCTACATTAAGCTTATAGAAAGCCTTTTGGTACTAGTTTCTAGCTAGGCCTTTGCTCTTTTTAAGTTCTAGCCTTGGTATTTTCAGCTTATAGCCCACCTTTTGCTACTTTTATCTTCCTATTGAATTTTTCTGGCTTACAAAGTTGCCAGCTGCTCCACTTGGGTGTTTCTCACGTGTGACGAGTCAAATAAAGAGCACAAAGTTCATCATGGGAACGTATCGATGACAAATTAAAGTACCTTTACTTTTATTCATCCTTGTGCTATGTTTTTACTTCTATTCTGCCTTTTAGTACTTTTAACTTTTAGCTACTGGTAGCTTATTGCTATCCTTTTGCTATTTTCAACTTCTAGCCCGCCAACACTGCTTTTATCTATCTATATTTATGCTATTTTTAGCTTCTAGCTTGGCCTTTCTAGCTTTACTTTTGATTCTTGATTTCTAGTTAGCTTTTTGCTACTTTTAGCTTTTCAGTCATAATTGGCTACTTAGCAGATTGCTACTTCTAAGTTTTTGTTAGCATAGTTTTTTGCTTTTTCTAATCTTTAGCTGTTGTTCTGTCATTTAGTTTTAACATCTAGGTTTCAGCTTCTATGTTCAATTTCAACAGTCCTTCAGAGTTCACACAGTGTTTTGGCAAAAAAAATATGCTTTTCACCAATTTCATTGTGTTTCTGGTAGAGCAGTGGTTTTTGTATTAAAGTATTATTTGTTTGTGTTAATGGCAGAGTGGAGCTCGGATTAACATCTCAGAGGGAAACTGTCCTGAGCGGATCGTCACCATCACTGGTCCAACAGATGCAATCTTCAAGGCCTTTGCCATGATCGCCTATAAGTTTGAGGAGGTAAAACATTCTCATCCTGCACATTGCATACTCATCAGCTCCCAAAAAGGTGAATGACAGGCAATAATGTCTTAACTTGTGTCTGTTGTCTGTTAGCAAAATATCTCAGGGTACAGATAGGATTAACTTCAACAAGGTTTAAGGTAAAGATGAAACACAATGGGCATCATGCAAGAACCGTTCGTACGCACAGATTTGTTCTTAAGTTGTGTGTACGAGTGATTTAGGAGAATTTGTGGCATTCACCAATGTTTTCGTATTCTAAGATTTTTTTCACAAATAACTTTATATTTCGTTAGTTTGAAGATATTTTGAGTTGAAAATAAATCACACTCCATAATTA